AAGGGGCAGCGGAGCCCAGTGATATCAGCTCTCCTGGGCTCGAGTCTCAGCTCTGACCCTTGGGCGCACCTTCCCCCCCCACCCCGGCTGTGCCTCAGTTTCCCCCCCGGGGGCCGAGCCTCGCTGTCCCTCACTAGTGTCCCTCCCGAGGCCAACCAGACCTGTAGGCCAATCTCCAGGAAGGGCTTCCCTGTGGAGAATAGGGGTTGTGAGTTGTCACCCACATACAAGAGGAGCAAAACGCTCCAAGCTCTGACCCTTGGGCGCACCTTCCCCCCCCACCCCGGCTGTGCCTCAGTTTCCCCCCCGGGGGCCGAGCCTCGCTGTCCCTCACTAGTGTCCCTCCCGAGGCCAACCAGACCTGTAGGCCAATCTCCAGGAAGGGCTTCCCTGTGGAGAATAGGGGTTGTGAGTTGTCACCCACATACAAGAGGAGCAAAACGCTCCAGTCCCCTTAACACTGACATTGTCCCCGCATTCCCTGCTGGGAGGGAGCTATCACTGCACCCGTTTCACAGATTGGCAAACCAAGCCCCATGATGTTCATCAAAACTGTTCCCCTTGGGTCTGTCCTGTGGAAACAGGCCCTGCACAGATTCCCAGATAGTGCAGCCATGTAGAATCATACAATTACCACAGCATGCAGGTGGGGCACCGAGGCGCTAAGTGACTTGACCAAGGGCATGTTGGACATTAGTGGCAGAGCTGGGCAACTTGCACAGCTTGAACACTGACTTGAGTCCAGGCAGCTCTGACTGAAGTCAAGGGGAGCTGGTGGGTGGGTGCCCCAGGTCACACAGGAAGGGGTATTTCCCAGGGCGTGGCCTGACCCGACTCCTCTCCCGCAGCATTGACGAGGACGAGAACCGCTACCCGCAGAAGCTGGCCTTCGCCGAGTGCCTGTGCAACGGCTGCATCGACAGCAAAACGGGCCGGGAGACGTCCGCGCTCAACTCCGTGCTCATGCACCAGACCATGATGGTGCTGCGCCGCAAGCCCTGCCCGCACAGCGCCAACCCGGGGACCTTCGCCTTCGACGTGGACTACATCAAGGTGCCGGTTGGCTGCACCTGCGTCCTCCCTCGGGCCAGCCCCTGAGCAGG